AAAATACCCTGTTCTGACAGACAAAATTCTTAGTGATCTAGGACTGGAAGAATTCCCCCCACACATGATAAAGGACACCCACAGGTAACCGACAGGAAAACTCACATGAGGCAGGGAGAGGCTAAAATTTTTCCTTTGTACTCAGGGACAGAGTGGCTCTTGCCACTACTATCAAAGCGGCACTGGCCCAGCCAGAAAACACAAGGGTGGGAGGGTCTGGTGCTGAAAAAAGAGTAACAGTTTTATCACCTAGGGTGGAAACATACATATATAGAAGCTGTATTTACCAGGTAAAAAGGAAAGAAGAACCTTAAAACTGACAAGTGAATTAGTAAATTATAGGATACTCTATTAACAGGCTAAACAATGTATCTTTGTATAGCAATAAACAATTAGAAGCTAAAACTAGAGTACCATTTATGGACACTGAAACACTTAGGAATAAGTATGTAGCCTATGTTCTTAGAGAAATTAAGACAGAACTAGAAAAACAGGAGAGGAAGATACTGCTTCTTCTTAGGCTAACCCTGAGGGGGATCCAGTGCAGCACTGGACAGCACATCCCACTGGTTTCCTGGCTGCACTGGATCATGGCCTCCCATTCAACATAGGTAACCACACACATGGCTACACAGCCTTCTAGAGGTCCTAAAAACTTCAGCCAAAGAGAACACACACACACACAGCCCTATGGGAGACTCCCTACTACCCATGAGGTTAAGAGTCAAATCATTAGGTCCTATAAGGGCTTTGCCTCCAGCCTCATGTGGGTGTTAGTCTCCAAGTTCTCTCCCCACACTGCAGGACCATGTCTGAGGATGCTAGCCCATGCTCTGTCCCTAGCTGATCTACTACCACACTATATGTTCATCTGCCATCTCACTGTCTAGATGCTGAGGCTACCTGTGTATAAATGGTTCTCCCTAAAGGATCACAGCCTCCAAGGTGGGGTTACTGGACATCTCAGCCACATCTAGGGCACTGGAATGGGCAGTGTGCCTGTCACCAACCTAGACACTTTAGTGTCTTCAGGATGAAGTGAGGTTGGGAGATGAGGACATGGTGTGAAAGCTGAGTGGGCCTCCTGCTCAGCATCCTTGCTGGGCCTGGAGGATGAGGGACAAGCCCAGATCAACTAGGATTCAATCATAGGTTCAAACACAAGTGTCCTGACGAGACACATACCCAGGCCCTGGGCATCCACAAAGCACAAATACTGGTCCCTGGCCCAGAAGCCTTTACCACAGCCACTAAAGCTAGGCTGCCTTCCTGGCAGGTGAACTCCTGGCCTGCTGCAAGTATCCCAGGAGCTGGAAGTAAGCCTACTAGGGGAACTGCACACATTCTTGACAGTCTCACACCTGTATTCCTGGAGATGAAGGGCCAACAGGCCCAGTCCTGAGGCAGCATTGTATGGGTGCTGCTTGAGGACAAAAGAAGAATGGCCGGGGGTTTCAGCACCAAGTGGATGACTCAAAGCTCTGCAGATGAAGCTTGAGCTCCCTTTCAGGGGGACATGCAGAAGATGCTCCCAGCCAGGCCAGCCAGCCTTCCCTACCAAAGCAGAAAAAAAGCCCTCTGAGAGAGCAGCTCCACCCAGGGCTTTGTGGTGAGCCCAGAGCTGCAGTGTGTTTCCAAGAATACGGTGATTTTTCCAGGCAAAGCTGGCTTAAATCTGATATCAGAGGATAAAAAGAAGACAGGGAGGCATACCTAGGAAGCTCTGTAGGTTAGTAAGACATGCTTATGGCTGGAAAGCGTGAGGGAGAAGAAAGGAAGAAGAGCAGATAAGGAAAGGGGGGAGGGGATCACGTGAATGCAATGCAGTGCACGGGGTCTACTGGCTGACTTATGAGATGTTCGCCAAGGCTCGACCAGCCTGGCCCACCCTGTTTAGCCTCCTATCCCATGCTGCCCTTCCATGACCATGTGCTCTCAGGGCCAGGACTCCATACTCACCTGAGAGGCTCTGGACCCTCAAAGTCGACTGAGCTTGGGAGGAAGGAGAGGTGAGAAGGTCAGAGAAGGGCAGCCAGACTGGACAGCACACAGCCTCAGAAAGCTTTTACCCACTACTCTGGAACAGGAAGTAGTGCTGGGAAGGGGCTGGGCTAGTAGAGGGGCCAAAGTCTCCTAGCAAGGAGACATTCTCATACAAACACACCCAACCTGCCCTTCTGGATCTGCCAGGTCCCTTCCCTGTCACCAAAGACAGAGTCTGTTCAGCAGGCACCTTGCAGCTCTGGACATCATGGAAGACAAGTCCTGTTGAGAAGCCTCAGCTCTTTCTAGAAACCTGTAGTCCCCATCAGGGTTCCTTTAGATATTAAATGGCTATAAACAAGAAAGACTTATCTGACATTTCTGGAGGCTACAAGACCAAAAGCAAGGTCTTAGAGCCCCAGAGGCTGGTTCATGCCTGGTCATCTTGCTGCACCCTCATATGGTGGGAGAGGTAAGGGGATCCTCTAAGGTCTCTTCTATAAAGCCACTCTATTAGTTGCTTTTCTCATTGCTGTGACAAAATACCTAATTTAAAACAACTAATGGAAGGATGGGTTTATTTTGGTTCATGAAAAGTAATGAAGTCTGTCATGGTGAGAAGGTAGGACAATGGGAACACGAGGCAGCTGGTCAGATGGCATCCAGTCAGGAAGCAGAGACAAACTCTGGTATTCTGCTTGGTGTCTCTTTATTTATCTGGGACCCCAGCCCAGATGGTGTTCCCCACATTCAGTATGGTTCTGCTTACTTCAGCTAGCCTTCTGAAAACAGACACACTCTTGGTGTTCCTGGGTGGCTCAAGTTCCTGTCAGCTTGACAACCAGATCCTGCTAAGCCGTCATGCCTGCTCCCACCCTAGTTAAGCTAGTCCTGCAGGCCAGATGACAGTGGTGACAGGGCTTGGCATACCAAGTGTGGTAAGCTCTTGACCCTAACACCACAAATACTAAAACCCCTTGTACAGTTTCCACCTGTGTCCTTACCAAGGTGCCAACTAGGAGAGGTCTTGGTGGTGCCCCAGAGCTCCGAAGTGCCACTCCTTGGCAGCCCTTGACACTCCTTGGTGTCCACAGTGGTCTATGCTCACTCTTCAAAACCAGGGCTGCCCTCAGAAGCAACAGCCTGGTGCCCATTCCTCGTCCCTGCCTCAGCTAGGCACCTGGAACTCCTCAGACCATGGAAGGCAGGGTCTAGATGAAAGGCCCCCATTATCCTAAAGACTGACTCACAGCTTCATTGCGCCTCCTGGAGGTCACTGGGGTGATAAACATCAGAGAGCAGTAGCCTAGTACTAGGGCAGTCCTCACAAGGCCTTTTTCATGAGCCATGGCAAACCAGCAGGTGGTGACACTTGAGAAGATGCACAGCACTGTGGAGTTCTGGGCAAGGTTGTGGGGGTCCAGATGCCTTGAACCCCTCAGCAGATCTCTAACACCTCTATCAGCGGGGAAAAGCCCACTTTATAAAGGCTTATGTATGTTCCTTGGGCAGCCTGAGGGGACAAGCATATTAAGGACATTTCCTGTCAGCTGTAAGGTAGAGTACCCTTCCTCAGAGTCTTCCTAAGATGTTACTGGAGCTACTACCAAAATAGACACTGCTGAGAGGGAAGGGACAGCAAATAATAAACACGCTAGCTCAGCGGACCCCGGGAAGGGCTGCTGTGGTAGCTCAGCAGGTTCCCAGGGTCTACCTTAGCTGGGAGGCAGCCTTGCACAGGCGACAGAGTGGAGCAGAATCCAAAGTCCAAGGAGTTTGGCCTCCATCCTTCTAAAGACCCTAAATGTAAGGTTGGGGCTGGCCAAGTGTCTTCTAGGGAGAGAATTCTCCTGTTTCTACTCAAATAAGCTGCCCCAAATCCTGTTCTGCTGTGTACTTCTAGAAAAGGAGGTTCAGCCTGAAAAATCAAAAAATCTAGGCTGTGGGACTGGATTACTAGCTACCCAGGAAGAACGAGGGTTTGTCACAGGTAATGGGGGAGCAGGGGCGGGCACAGGCCCTGACCAGTGTGAATGTCCTGTCTAGATCAACTGCTACTTGCTATGTTGTTGACTAAGGCAAGCATGGGGATATGATGGTGGACTCAGCACGATAGCTGGAGACTGAAGGGTTTGAGAGACAGGGATGGATGGACGGATGCCTCAGGAGCCGCTATGGATGGGAGTGGCTGCTGTCCAGTTTGAAGCCGAGCCCTCAGCAGTTATTTTCAAAGGAAAGACCAAGTCACATCCTGTCAAGTCCTCTGCTCTGACACTAGTTAAGCTAGTTCTGCAGGATGGATGGAAACTGCCGCTATAGGGCTTGGTGAATATCACGGGGTGTCAGATCCAAGTCCAGAAGACAAGCCAAGTGACAGCCCTTGTCAATAATAGTGGCACCAAAAATAGCTGCCCTAGGATGTTATGGTTTATCAACAGAGGTGATGTAGAGGGCCATCAGCCAGACATTTGACCAAGCCAATTATGGATGGAGAAGGCAGCAGCTCAGTACAGTCCAAAGTCCTGCCACAGAGAACAGACTTGCAGTCCACAACATGACCACAAGTCCCCCAGAAACTGTGGAGAGAACCTCCATGGCTGCGTACTGGGCAGGGGCCATTCAGACATCTGGCAGGCCTATGGGTCCAGCTTATGCCAGCAAGCCTGTCACAGCAGGACACAAGAGTGGCAGTAACAGTCCAGCAAAGACCAGTTGTGCAAGTAAGTCAAGGAGGCCTCCTCACTGAAGCCATTCCCTGACTCCCACCACCTAACTGGGACTGACTGATAGAGATGATTAACACCCTTCGTGCACGTCGCTGGAACTGACTTGTCACAGTCCAGGTGAGACTGCAGTTCAGGAAGGCCACAGTAGGATGTCAAAACTTCCAAGACCTTTTGTTTCCCGTTCCCTGCCTCCTCCAGAGCCCAAGCTGCCCTCACCCGTCTCGGCACCCGTCCAGTTGTGCAGCTGGCTAGTAGAATGTTAATTTGGCCTTGAGCTTTTTGGAACAAGACTAATTCATAAATCATTCATGTTTATTTATAAAGTCACATTCCAAAAATATTTCAAGTAATAAATACTTTTTAGCATTTTCACAATCTGCCTGCCTGGTGTAAGGCTTCTGAAGTCAAGCAGGTCATGTGGATTCTGCGAAGCCTTTCACAGCAAACCTGGGTCCCAGGGATCTCCTGGCTTCACTGAGGAATGAAGATACTACTTGGGAGTCCTAGCCCCACCCTGCAGCACCCACTGGACTCTGAGGTGTTTTCAATCCAGGACAAAGCACCCTATTTTAGCCCCAAGATCCACAGCCAGCCCCCAGAGTTGATGAGAAGCTTGGCTCATGACTGACTGGAGATACGCCTGGATGCTGGGCACAGGGGTGGCAGGCACTCTGGCCAAGGCCAGAACACAGGTTCCAGTGTCAGGCTTTCATCACTGCCATGAAGGAGACCTGCAGGGGGAGAGGGTATGGTTGGGCCCTGTCCTCTGACCCCCCCCCACCCCCTGTCTTTCCAAACACCACCTGAGAACGACACAGCCCAGCTCCCAGGGCTCCTGTGGCTCTTTATGAGGGTGTCACAGCACCATTTATCACAGAGGCCACTTGCAGCAAGGCTAATGGGAGGAGGGGAGGGGATCAAGCCCCAGCCCACCCAGCAGACGGGGCAGGAGAGCCAAGCGAGGCGAGGGCACCACACACAAACCTCCTGCAGCAGCTGGCCCAGCATCTCCTGGCTGTGAATGGACTGCCTGTGGAGACAATGTCTGGTCATCTCCCAAAACTGCCTGACAGACCTCCCACCAGACCCAGGCCCTACTCCCAGGCTAGGACCTGCAGGGAGTCTCAAAGCCCACAGGCCCACCTCTTGGCTCTGCTAGAAAGGCAGGAGCCTGGACACATAGGCCAAGCACAAGGCTCATATGGAAGAGTTACAATGCTGGGGACCCTGACCTCTGCTAGCCTCCACGGCCTGGAGACCTACCTGTCTATTCTGGTTGCTATGGTCACTGTGAAGGTACCCTCTGTATCTGGCAGGTAGGTGGAAGGCACAACCCTGTAGTTCCCCACAGAAAGGAGGCAGAGGCGGCTCACTTCCTGGGCATAGCAATGTGGTACACAGCTTAGCAGTGGCTCCTGGAGCAGCAGGGAACACGCATCCTGGTTCTCACCATCTGCTGGAACCTGGGCAACAGTAGAGTCAGCATGGAGGCCAATACAGGGTTGCATGCTTGCTCTCACTCTGCATAGCGGCAGCTGAAGGAACACTTGCCCTGGTTCAGTTGGTATACCTGATGTTCCCAGTCCTTGAGCTATGGAGCCACTCTGCTGAGGAAAGGAGCCGTGGAGGCAGGACGCCCTTGTCAGAGGCCCTGCCAGTGGTCAGTCCTACACACACTAACCAGGCCCCTACACACAAGTGCTCAAGAGTACTGGATGGGCCCCGGGCAGGGGCACTCTATCTGAAATTCCAGGTGGCCTGACTCAAGATTTGAGGAGTCCAACTTTCTGGGATGTACTGACACCCCTCAACAGAAATTTTTTAATGAAAAAATCCTGTTCTCTCTCGCCATGTCACCTGCATTCCAGGGACACATGCTTTCTCCCCAGAACAGTGAATCCTGTCATAGCCCAACACGCCCTCTGCCAATGCTCACTGTGAAGTGAGGGCCCAAGATGGACATGGCCTCATGGGATGGGAAGCCTCATTATTGTCACCATGGAGTCTGTAGCCCATGACTCTTGACCTTTAGCACAACGCTTCTCTCTCCTCTCCCATTTCTCCAACTAAAACTTAGCTCAGTGTGCTCCCGGCCTGCTGGCTACGAGGTGGAAGTGATGATGAAGCAGCACCCGGGGAGACCCAAGACCTTCCCCATCCAGAGCAGCCTGGTAGAGAAACTGGTGTAAGCAAGCTCCTGGGCCATCACAGAACCCCCATGCTGAGGCCCTTCGGTGTGGCCTCTCCTCCATCACCTATGGCTGCCCTGGGCTAACAGCCTCAAAATACAGTTCCCAGAGCATGTCTTTTTAAGTCCTGAGCCAGACTCACAAAAGCTTTGCCTCAACCATGAAGGTATCTATCTAGAATCTTCTGGGCTTTTGACTGTGGCTGGAGCACCTGACCACCAACCTGTCCTGCTACTGTCGTGGCCAAGTACAGGTCTCTCCTCCTGCTAGTCCTACTGGAGTCTATGGCCCTTTCCAGCAGAAGCCCAGACTTCTGCCCTGCTCTACCTGAGCCCATTGTAGAGCAGCTCTTGCCAGTCCCACCTGGAAGAGTGACATGGGAAGGATGGGCTGTGAGACTGCCCATGGGTGTGTATGTGACTACTATATGTGTGATGAGTGAACAAGGCCTCTCTACAGTAACTGCTTGCAGCCACATCCACCTCAGGGTGAGGCTAGGCTTCTAGCCCTTAGAGAAGTCCAGAGCCCAGGGTCAGAGGTAGGAGGAATGCAGTGGATGGAATGACCTCAGACAGGGTATTTGGAGTGAGGTGAGCTACCCTGAATGACCCCAGTGAATAGCCTTTGTGAAACATGAGGGTGAGTCTTTTGTGAGGCCGGCCAGCTGGACCACCAGGCCTAAATGACAGAAGCCAGCCTCTGTGTCACAGTCACAGGCCTCTCCTGGAACCTAACTCACCTGAAAGACATGGAAACCAATGGGATGGAGCTGGCTGTCACTGAGTCGGCAGTGTTGCTGCAGAGTGATTCGGATGTAGCGGGGGCCAGCACCCTCAGGGACGGAGAAGGGGAGGCAGGGATTGCAGGGGTATGACGTAAAGTTCCTGCTGCCCCCTGCTGTCTGGCCAGCTCTCCAGCAGCCCTGCAACTGCACAGTCTCCCACTCGCCTGCAGGCAGGGCTGTTCCAGGTGATGTGCCCTTGGAGGCCAGCCTGACAGCACTGCCAGGAGGACAAACACAGAAGGCACTGGCAGCCTGGTCCAAAGGAACCTGCCCAAGTCCTACCCTCACACTGAGCACACCCTGGCTCCTCCCCAGACCCAGCTAGCATTGGCTCCTCACCTGAGGGAGACTTTCCCAGTGGAAAAGACTCTGAGCAGGAACTGCCCTGGCACATCCTTCAGAAAGGTGCTAGGGACAGCCAGGTAGTAGCCTGGTGAGAGTTCACAACGCAAGTGGATCTCACGATCATATGCATGGCATGCAGTGCCGACGACAGGGGGTGCAGACAGGACTCTGGGCAGGCTGATCTTCCGTTTCTCTACCTGCATGAATGGAGGTAGGAGGCTGAGCAGAGTCACACCCATGCACTTGGCCTCTGCCTCCCTGCTCCTCACAGCTCAGGCAAAGCTCCCCAGAACCTTTTGAAAAATCTAGGCCTACAGACAGCCCGTAGCATCCATCCCCCTGAGCCAGGTGAAGACGCCAAAGACCTAGGACTTCCTTCAGGGGGGGAAATAGACAAATCTAGAACCATGTTCAAAAAGGCCCATGACCGGTGCAGCCTGGGGAATGCTGGAGAAGGTACGTCCCAGTAACTTTTTGCAAGAGGAAAGGACCATGATGTAGGTAGGCTACACTCACAAAGGGACAATGAACAGTGGTGTGAGTTGTCACATGGTATCATGATACACAAGGTTAAAATACAGCCACTGAGTAAGCAAAGAGCAGCTCCTGACCTACCTGTTCTAGAAAATAGATACTAGCTCATAAAACTGACCAAATGTCTGAGGCTGACCATAAAATAAGCCTATACATGTACAGGCTGTAATGGAGGAATCAGAGGAAGGTACCTAGGTGGAGTATACAAGGCAAGCAGCAGCCCTAGAATGATGGGAAACTCTTCCCTTGAGGAAGATGGAGACTTAGAGATCAAGCTAGCCTCCACCTCTGTGCGGGTTGGTTGAGCTTTGAATCAGCTGCTTCTGTTGCTGTATCAGAGGTGTCTGATATCAGAGAACATGGAAAAAGGTATCAATGGCCAAGGATGGCAGCTCCTGGGACCCAAGCCTCCAATATATCTGCATACCTTTCCACCATGTGACCAGCAGAGGGAGTTACCTTCCAGATGTGCAAGCCCACAGCCTGGTAGTCTTTGCCTGGGAGGTTCACTGGTGCAGGGCTGGCACCCGCCAGTGCCCGAGTCTGGCCTACTAAGCGCCTCCGGGGTCTCTGAAGGACAGCCACACACACCTCACTGGGTTCCAAGAGCCGTAACCAGAACTTGGGGTTGCAGGGAAAGCAACTGTTGTTCCGGCAGCCTCCTGCTGACTGCCCTGTCACCCAGGCACCAGGCAATGTCCGTGTATGGCACAGCACCTTCTCTAGTGAGTGGGAGAGCATGTGTCAGATGAGAGGACCTTGCTGGCTCTGCTGTACCCACAGGCCGAGGTAAACACACCAGTGATAATCAGCTCACCCTCTGAGAATCACATCTGCTCCCTCCACCAAACCCCCAGTCAGTCAGTCAGTCAGTCAGTCAGTCAGTCAGTCAGTCAGGCAGGCAGACAGGACTGTACCCATCCCTGGTGTGCCAGCCTATGCAGGCTCCTGGCTTCATAGAGGATAGTCACTCCTGCTGGCGGTCCTACCTGTGTAGAGACTCTGTAGGTGGCCGGCCTCTGTGACTGGGTAGCCGATGGTGACCTCATCAAACTCCCTGAGGAACTCCTCTTCCTCTACCCAGAACTCCCCTTCCTGGAGTCGTGCCAGCAGCTCAGACTCCTTAGCTGGCTCTACCTGGTTCCACCCTTCACCTCTGCAGGAAATCTCCTTTCAGTGCAAGCTCAAGATGGATTATCAACTGGTAAATAAGGAAATGGGACCCTGGGGGGGAGGGGGCGGGGCGGAGAGCCTCGAATTTTTGTCATACACTGCACAGTAAACTCCTTTGCTAAGTGTCCTATAGAAAGTGCCTTCTATGTGCTGGCTGTCCCTCAGAACATCTCCTTCCCAGAGGGACCCCACACCTGAAAGAAGCTGCCTTAAGGCCTTCATAGCCAGGTCCAACCCTTTAGTCTCTGAAGGAGCTATCATGTTGAGTGAAGTGTTGCTCAGTTTAGTGGCACCAGACCCAGCCTGGGCTCAGAGGGTAGCTGGGGTCCAAGAACCTCGGCACTCCCAGGCCTCAGGGGATCCTGGCTTAGGTGGGTCTTAAAACTAATCTGAGTATTTTAGCTGCATGTTACCTCAAACCCCTACTCAACCAAAAGCTTGGCCAGGTATTTACTATCCTATAGGAACCCAAGATAAAACCCCATAAAAAAATTACATGATCTTAGCTCTTCCAAGACCTAGGCAAGCACTTTGGTACACAAATGGGTACAGAGTGAGCTTTGCGACAGGAAGGCAAGCACCACTTTGGCAGCTGGATATGACACAAATGGTGAGCAGAGCAATGTGGCATGGATGCCCCAGGGTATCAACCCTCTTCCCACATGCACCCAGCTCCTGGTACTTACCCTTCTCTCCAGAGGCCCTGCCAACAACGCCGGCCCCAGGGGTTGTGAATCCGTAGTAGGAGGATACCCTGGCCAGTCCGACTCCTGAGATCCTGCAGATCTGAGATGATGAAGGCATGGAACTCCCCGAGCTCCCTGGCACCTGTGAGAACAGCCCAGTCGTGTGCAAGACCAGCATCACCATGTCCCTAATCTGGACAGGACACAGAGATCCCTCCTTTCCTGCCCGTGGAAGATGCTCCAGGACTCCATAGTGCTAAGGAGCTCTGTTCCTAAACACAGGCCAGCTACTCGCAGTGCTCACTGGCATTCTGTGCCATGAGGGCTGACAGCTGGGCCCTGGCTCCCTGCCACCAGGGACCGATGCTGCACATAGTATCCCCTCCTCTGGGCCTCAGTCCTCACCATGGGTGTCAGTGCAGGGCCAGCTCTCCAGCATGAAACCATCTTACCATCATGTTGAGGACTTTAAGCCAAGAGGAATTCCACCTGGCCAGAGACCACAGAACAAAGGGCCTGACATAGGAGAGAACAGTGCTATTCCAGGAGGGTAGAAGCCGAAAGAGGGCAGGAAGGCTTATGTGGCCACAGCTCTAGTCCCAAGGACTCCACAGCTATCATTCTTGGTGTCCCTTTCAGTCTCAGCCCTTGACACTTCAGTGGGTCCCAGGAGCTCTTTGCCAGAGAAAGGAGTTCTTCAAAATTCAAAGTGTCAAGTGTCAGTTTCCCCACATCTGGGACTGACAACACCAGCAGGGTCTGATGGCCAATGGCTAGCTCCCACCCTCAGGAGGGAGGCTCAGTGGAGTCAGGATGGCCAGCAGTCAACACACCCTGCTCCTCCCCTTGAGTCCCAGGATCTGTCTGAGGATCACAGACCAAGGCTTTGTCAACTCTTAGTTGTTGGTCTGGCCAGTGTGATTACCAATTAAGTTTTGGATTATTTTGATGTTCATATTTTATTGTGGGTATGTGTGGGTAGAGGGCACGTACACATGTGTGTGCAGGCCAGAAGACAGACTTGGTGTAGTTTCTCAGGAGCTGCCCACCTTATTTTTTGAGTCAGGATCTCTCAGCAACCCGCAGGCAGCCTCCTGTCTCCACCTCCACAGAGCTGGAATTCCATGTACACATTGCCATGTCTAGCTTTTTACCTGAGTGCTGAATGTTCAGTTCATGGCCTCACGTTGTACAGTACACACTTACTGACTGAACCGTCTCTCTAATGCTATTTCTGAACCTAAGTTATACATCAAAATATTCTTAAGTGTATAAAGAAAATTATATCAGAAAGATATGGCCAGACATGTAATAAGTGCCAATGGTCTTAACACTCGACTACCTAAGTTCTAAGTAAGTCTGAAACTCAAAAAAGAAAAAAAAAAAAGATCTGAACTAGCTAACATTACTGGAGGATCAAGAAAACCACAGCAGGTCAGAAATTCCAATGTATATAAAAGTGGTATACAATACCACCAGAAAAGGTCGCATACATTCAGGAAAAAACTCAAGAAGTACACTAAAAGGTTCTATTTAGGCGAGCTTTTCTTTCTTTATTTTGTACACAAACTTTTCCTCATGAACCTTAATATGTCAGAAGGATAAAAAATGGCTTCAGACTTTGTTTGGTAAGCAACTGGGGCAGGGATGATGGGGGGTTAGCTTAAATGCTGTTCTTGCTACTGCTTCTAAGCTGTCTGTGAGCAGCAGGGGACACAATGTAGGTCCTGTCTTGCCCTATGTGAAAGGACTAGACTAGGAGAAAGAGAGTAACCTCTCTCTGGAGGAGGGATAACAGGAGGACACACAGTCACGACAGCCTAAAAGGACTGATTTTCTTCTCTGTAATAAACTAACGGTGGAGGGAGTTGTAGCCATAAGCTGTACCTGCTCTGGGGCTAAGCACAGAGCAGCTGATTAGACACTGGTCCTTCAGGCGGAGTAGCTGCCGACAAGTTCTGTGCTCCCCACCACTGGTTCTGTCCTGTTGGCCACTGGTTTTCATTACATCCTTCAGACTCCACCTTTCTGCCAGGCTTCCAGTGAGATCCACCAGGGCATCTGCCACCTGCCCTGCCCATAGCTGCTCATAGGATCCATGGACCCTGGGGAACCAAGAAGCACCAATAAGAATGACCATGCCACTGAGAGCTTCTTGCTCTCCTATTCTCACAACCATCACATCCCAAAGTATCCAACCCACCCTCTCTCGGCACCTGGATCGCCTCTCTGCTTTGTACCACATCTTCACCCACCTATAAACACCGGCATCTGCCATATTCCTGCTGTTTTCTGCCCAGGTTCAGACCCATCCTTCCTCTAGTGTGGGCAGCAAAGGACAAGGCAAAGAAGCAAAGAGGCTCCAGCCTAGGCTCAAACCCCATGGTCCCAAGTATGACATTCTGCCAGCCTTCTGAGTTCCTCTGCTCAGCTACCTGGCCAGTGGCCAGCCTCCTTCAGCAAGATGCAAACCCCATGTAGAAGGGAGCACAGGGCTGTAATAAGCAAATGCTGTTCCACACAAGGCTCCTCGCTCCCTGCAACTGGGTAACAAACTACTTGTGCTGAATGTTTGGAAACATACACGGGGGCATCTTTGCACTGAGACTGAGGAATGAGGGGACCTTTCTGTGGAGTGCTGGGAAATATGGGAAGGGAAAGAGAGGGCAAGGAGGGCAAACTAGAGTCCTAAAAACAGAGTGTCCATGAAAGGACCCACAGGACTGGCTGCCAAACCCTGAGGAACGCATAGCACTCTGCACCCCAGGGCAGATGAGATGGGCCTCTGGAGACAACTTGGTTCTGAAGCCACCCAGCCTGGCTGACCCTGTCACTTCCGTATCATACATACTTAGCATAGGCCTTTTCCAGTAAGGGAAGCCAGAACACATCCTCTCTCTGGCACCGAGAAAAGCAGAGTCTCCCGGCAAGACAAGGCAGACGGTCATCTATGGTCACCTCCTCCCAGTGTCCAAACTGCCAAATTCGACAGGTGAAGAAGCCTCGGTATTTCTGGTCAGACCAGCCTGGCTGTCCTGGAGGGAAGACCTAACACACAAGGAGAGGCCAGATAGACAGCATGTGATCAGCAAGGTGTGTGTGTGTTCCTCAGCATCCCAGCAGTGTAGCCTCCACAGAAGCACTGCAGACACTTGAGGGGCCACCAGAGAGCCACTGTCACCTGTGCTCCTCAGTGTCCTAACGGTGTAGCCTTGATAGAAGCACTATGAGCACCTGCTGAAAGCAAAGGGCTCTGCTCTGTTGGATGTCACATCTGTATGTCCATTTTCATATAAATAACTCATGTCCCCAAAGCTTATAGCCAACAAAGTTTTACTGCCCCAAATAAGCATTTGACCTGAATCCAAAGCTTTGGCAGACAGGAGTAACCCAATTTTTTTCTGGTTTTCTTTTTCTTTTTTTTTTTTTGGTTTGGTTTGGTTTGGTTTTTGGATACAGGATTTCTCTGTGTAGCTTGGGCTGTTCTGGAACTCACTCTGCAGACCAGGCTGGCCTTGAACTCAGAGACCTGCCGAAGCCATGCGCCATCACACCTGGCTTCTACAGCCCATGGGCTGGACAGCTGTTCCTGTTTCTCAGAGTCAAGTGTCCAAAACTGGCCAGCCACTGGTCAGCTACATCCACGCTGCTTCTGTCAGTAGACAAGGGCAGGCTCTGCACCAGGTAGACTTGGTGTGGTGCTGGCTTCAACCCCAGACACCCAGGAACTATGAGGATGACAGCATCAGTGCCTTCTGTTACAGACAGATGGCAACAAGGCTGTACGGAGAGGTAACAACAGTGATAAGGTTAGCCCAGGGCTCGGGACACGAGACAGTCACGAATGTTACCTCCTCATTGCTGTTGCCTTAACTGAAAACACTGAGCAATGAGCCAACCTAAACATGTAGCACTGCATACCAGAAGACAGTTTCAATCACCTTTTCTTTGTTGGTATTTAAAGCCTATGTATGAAAAAATAAAAAGAGAAAGAAATCAATCAAGTAAAAAAAAAATCCAAACCAGAGACACAATATGCCTCTGCTGACCCTGTTCTACATGCTAGTTTGGCCTGGTTTTGTGTCCCAAATGTGTGGTGGCTCCGGTCTGGTGGACAGGACGCACTTGGGTCATTGGGTCACTGTCTTGGTGTCTGAACCCTTCCCACCCATGTTGCACAGACACAAAATGTGCCGCGGCAGGCCCTGTTTTCAGAAGAACTTCCTGTGTGTGCACACAGAAAGAACTGAGTGGGAAGAAGCCTTGAGATGGGCTGTACCTGGTCCAGGAGGTGCTGACTCTTCTGAAGGGCGGCACAAGCACATAGGAACCAGCAATCCCCCAGCAGCCCTTGCTTCACCTGTCCTTCCCATGGGTTATCTGGAAACAGCTGAGGTGTGGCACAAATTTCCTGAAACCAAGCCATCCAGAGTTAGCTCATGCCTATGGTTCCTCTTCAAGCTAAGAACACAGGACCCCAGGACAGGCTCTGGAGGCACTTTCTCATTATCTGAGCTTCTAGCCCCGATGGAAGGGGATGTTACTTCCTTTGCCACAGTTTTCTCACGGCAGGACCTCAATTCTGGAGGATCCTTTTAAATCAGTTCTGCTCTATAGATTTATGATGACCAATATCAATCGGTTCCTTTGTACTGTAGGAAGTCTACTGTTTGTCTACCAGGTTCAATTTCCCACCCACCTTCCGCCTTGTCTCTCTTCTCACTCCTTGTCTGCACACCTCAGCTACCAACCTGTCCTCTTGCTTCATAAAAACCACTGGCCACCCACCCACCTTCTGCTACCTCTCCTTTCTACACGTTCAAGTATCCCACTTCTGAGGCAGACCACACCAGCATGCAAGTGGGACAGAGCTCTCCCATCTTTAGTAGCTGGCAGCACTGTATTCCCTTCCTAGGCTCCCTTCAATGACAGCTTCTCAGAGAAATTAGCAATCTTACTGGCCCTCCCTTACTCTCGGCAAGTCAATCATCCCTTACACTGCCTCAATTTCACCTTCGTGATGTCAGATATAACAGGCATGTCTTATCCTTCAGTAACTTTCATGGCTGTCCCCTGCCCCTCAAGGGTGTGGAAGCCCCCACTAGCTCCATGATGCCACATGCTCCTCTGGTACTTTCTCTTCACTGCCTGCTGCATCTCACTTGTTGCTGACTGCCTGTCAGGATGCTCATATGCACATTTATACATTAAGGCTTAAGGCTAAGTTTCAAGACCCTTCCTCTACCCCTTCCCTCCAGATCCTGAGTGGCTCTTTCAAGCTGGACTATAACCGTCTCTCCCACCTACTGTACTCTTCCTGAGCTTCTGATCCATCTACCCGACACTTCCACCTGGTCAAGGGAGGAAAACCAGGCACTGCTTAGGACCACCACCCATCTATACCACTCTGGCCAGGAAGCAAGAACTCATAGATAGATAGATAGATAGATAGATAGATAGATAGATAGATAGATAGATAGATAGATAGATGTGTGTTTGCCTGTGACTCAGTGTGAATATGGAGGTCAGAGGCCAACTTACTGAAATAGGTTTTCTCTTTTCATCATGTGGGCCCCAGAGCCCACACTTAGGTCATTAAGCTTGTTGGTAAATGCAGGGCCATTTCAATAGCCCAAGAAATCACTCTTGGTTCCTGCTCTGGTTTCTACTTCAAACAGCCACTCCTTCCAAAATATTCGCAAAGCTGTCTAAACCCATTCACCCAGCTGTCAGGCTAACCTGAACTGTCATCAACTTTAGTACTACTGAAAGGGCAGCCCCTACTCTTGCCCTGTCAGTCCCTTCCCTCCCAGGAGTGAGCTTCTTTCCCACTGCTCTTCTTCTGTCTTGTTTACTACTGTTGCTACAATTACAAATAGATACACTCACATGGCTACAATAATAGTAAGTTTTGAAAAACAAAAAGATACTATCCTGTGTCCTAGTCACCAAAGAGCAGTTCCAACAAACTCACTCCTTAATTAAAAACCTTCCACAGGTCTCTACTGACACCTAGAACATATTTACCCGTTTGTATGTCATGCGTGAGTGTTTTGCTTGAATCTGTGTCTGTGTGCTCATGTGCATGTAGTGCTTTCAGAGGCCAGAAGAGTGCACTGGATTCCCTCAGACTGGACATACAAATGGCTGTGAGCCACTACATGAAACCCATTTAAAAAAAATTATTTATTCACTTTATAACCTATTATCAGCCCTTCCTTTCCTCCCAGTACCCCCCTCACGAAAATCCTCCTCCTCCTCAACATTCCTCTTTGGAGAAGGGGAAGCCCAGCTCTGGGTGCCAACACCCACCCCCTCTGCACATCAAGTCGCTGTGGGACTAGGTACATCCTCTGAAACCCCTTTTTAAAGTAAAAACAAAACCTAAACTCCAAGGGCATGGCCAGTAAGGCTCTTTCTCTCCCTTGCCTCAAAAAAGCCAGGATATTTATCAACGCCATTGTGCCAAGCAGTTCAGGGTGCACAAGGGCTGGAACCCAGCCAGTTGTCACTGTTAGCACTGTTGTCACATGTGGGACAGGCTGTTCCCCAGGTAGTCTTTCAGCTGATAAGTCACTTCTAAAAACCACCAACAAAAGCACTAAGCCTGAACATCCATCCATTTGAGATGCACCAAGGCCAAAACAATTCCTACCACAGCCCTTTGTGGCTATGAGGGGTAACGCTGCTGTGAGTTGCATATCTGCATGGACACTGCAAGTGAACAAGACTGATGGAGGCTAGATAGAATCAAGAACATGGGAGTGTGCTTGTTATAATGGCCAGGGGTTGTGCTGAATTATACCCGACCAAACTTAGGTGGTGAGACAGACCTAGAAATACTGCTTCTAATCCCTTCTTCATATCAAAACAACTACCTACTACCTGACTTTGAGTAGTAGTATATTTTAGTACAAACCCCAAGACAACATCTAAAAACAAGCCGTTCCATTGCTCTGTCCTCCTGAATTAGAGGTAACTACCTCACTTGAATTCTCAGGGTTGGCTATCACCTTTTCTGAATGGGCTTGCAGACAAGGTCCTGCTAACCACGGAGTCCACCCGCCCAGGCCAGGGAGCCCGCTGCACCTGGGGCCGTCTCCAAGTGATGTCCTCCCGAAACTGGGCCAGAGGCGTGGACAAGTTGTAGAAGAGCGAGGTGTCCGAGGCGGGGAATGCGGCGTCCCGGAAAAGCTCCCGCGCCGGCGTCTCGGCCCGGACCGCCCGCATCTTCGGCGCCCTGGGCTCCCATCTGCGGCCCGTAGACTCGGTCGCCGCCCGGGAGCGAGTGCGCGGCCTTCGCTGCAAACCTGGTCTCCTTAGGCCGCGAGACCTACTGGTGCAGAGCTGCCTAGCGCCTCAAGCTCCGTTGTCTAGGTAACCTGGCTGGAGCCAACCAGGCGCTGTGCTTGAGTCACGTGACAGAGCTGCCTGGTCACGCACGCGCTTCAGCTCCGAGCGGAGCAGGACGTGTAGGTTTCTGCTCCCGCGAGAGAGCGCTGTCTCCTTGTTTCTAACAGGGCGGCGCTAGCCTGATGTCAGTAGGCTTTAATTCTCAGGACACCGCAGTGCTGTAGCCACTTGAACTCGAAGTCTAAGGGACCACAGGAAGCTGAAAAGTCACTCTGGCTGAGGTCGCTTTGCCAATACTATCCCAGCATGCAGCGCCGTTCCCAACATACATCGCTGATCACAGGCGTTGTCTACTTCCCAGCATGCTTCTCTCTTTCCGGTGTGAGGCAGGAACTTGGCATGCTGGTGGTTCCTCCCTGTCTTCTGAAAGAGCCAGTGAGGAAGTGGCTCAGCAAATCCTGTTGTTACCCCTCCGTGCGGTGGTGGTTGCGTTGTCCTAGGGAGGCAGAGGTGTCACTGGGGTTATAGTTTGTCTCAAAACAATGCGCATTGGATGCTCTTGATCCTAAACAGGGCCAGAGAATGCGGCTAGAGCATTCCTTGAACCCCTAAATAGCCGGGCTATGGTTTTGTTGACTGGATGATGACCAGGACCTGGACTTGCGGCTCCACGATTATTCAATGCCATGAGGAGGACAGTGACTGATACACTCTCCTTCTGGGACCTGCTCTTCCAGTTCCCTGGAAGGATGCAAACCAGCCAGGGGCTGTTCTCTGTTCCTCTTCCAACTGTATGTATTTCGTCAAGACTAGAGGCTTCATACAGAGACAAAAAAGGAGATGAAGAGGCCTCACACATTGTAGACTGCTGTTTGCCACCTGTTAGGGCTGCTCTGATTTTTGCCTCCTCTGGGCCACCTTTTCTCAATCTTGGATAAAAAGTAGTCAAAGGAAATGCGGTTTGTGCAGTTAAGTAGGTCAAGTACCCATTGCCGAAAGAGGAACAACCAGGTCAAGCTTTTACCCGTAACTTGATGCTTCAGAGCCTAGACAGTTCTCCCAGTGAGAGGCTGTCCTGATCCTGCATTAGCAGCAGTTGCTGCTGTGTCATGATGCAGCTACCTAGTCCTCAGCACCATGACTTGAGGTGCAAGACGCGTCTCTTTATTGAGGTTATAAAAAAGGAGTGGCCACATAGCCCAACATCTCTTTGGAATGCTTTTTCATTTAGTACGTAATATTGACTCAGGTGACTGACTGGCAGACTAAAAACTGTACTACAGTTGAAATGAATCATTAAGATCCTGGGCTCGGTTTTCCAGGAAGTCTTGAATAATTGTGGCACATTATCCTTAACTCAAGAGTTATGCACAACTGGTTTACCCCCAGAAGTCTCATGGGAGGGGTTAGCTCAGGAGAACAGCTTCCTAAGGCCATATCCATATCCAGGGCTGGGCCACAGGCAGAGCCTGGCCTCCAGAATCTGAAAGAAAAAAGCATCTTAGTGTCACTGTTGCTGTGATGATACATCATGACCAAAACAGCTTGGGGAGAAAATGGTTTGTTTTACTCACAGTTTCACAGGGAGAAGTGCTGTTTCCTGCCTCCTTTCCATGGCGTGTTCAGCCTGCTATCTTATAGAGCCTCAGACCACCAGAGCAGAGATGTACCACCTACAATGGGCTGTCCCTTCCCCATTGATGACAACTAAGAAAATGCCTTGCAGCTGGATCTCATGGAGGCATTTTCTCAATTGAGACCCCTTCCTCTCTGATGACTCTACCTGTGTCAAGTTGACAAAAACTAGCCAGCACAGACAGGAAGGCAGCTGATGCTGATTAGACAGTAGCCTAGGCCTGCAGGATGGTTGTACTTTAGTCAGACTTGGTGTCAGGGCAGCTTATCAGTTGACTTGTTTTAACCCTCATTCTAGAGCCCTATGACCTGTTTTCTTCCAAGTATGTAGCTGTACTGGCTAGTTTTGTGTGTCAAATTGACACAAGCTGGAGTTATCACAGAGAAAGGAGCCTCCCTTGAGGAAATGCCTCCATTAGATCCAGCTGTAAGGCATTTTTTTCAATTAGTGATCAAGGGTGGGAGGGCCCACTGTGGGTGATGTCATCCCTGGGCTGGTAGTCTTGGGTTCTATAAGAAAGCAAGCTGAGCAAGACAGGAGAAGCAATCTAGTAAGCAGCAGCACCCTTCCATGGCCTCTGCATCAGCTCTTGCCTCCAGGTTCCTACCCTGTGTAAGTTCCAGTCCTGACTTCCTTAGGTGATGAACGGCAATTTGGAAGTGTAAGCCGAATAAACCCTTTCATCCCTCAACTTGCTTCTTGATCGTGATGTTTTGTGCAGGAATACAAACCCTGACTAAGACAGTAGCCTTGCTCCCGAAGCCAATTTGGAAAGGGTTTTCTTTTCCCTCCCAACCCATCTCCATCTCTGGGCTTAGATCTGAAGGTACCAAGAAGAACCAGTAGTCTAGGTGGACAGATGAAAAGGAGTATGAAGCCAGCTGGCTCTTGGCACAAGTGCTCACAAGTGAGGCACTTAAAGTCTGAGCCCAAACTTGCTGTGGTGGAACACCTATTATTCCATCACCCAAGAGACAAGAGTTGAGAGGCTTGTGGGGCCAGCCTGGGTCACACAGCAAGAAATGATAACAACAAAAACTTATCAGCCAGAGATTCTTCGTGCAAGGAACCCATGAGCTGCAAGCTCATGTCACAGCATCGTATGAGAATCTTTCGCTCCACTGATGTCCACCATCACTCCAACTTCCAGTGGGAAGACTGAGTGCGTGCCCATGGATGTCTCGGAGCCCTTTGAAACCTGAGCCCTCCTTGCTACTTTCTTTCTGAACCCTTCTTCCTGCCTGCTCTGGTTTTTCAAGAACATGTTCCCTGACTTCCTCAGGAGATCCTCTTCTGAAGCCCTGTACGTCCACTGCTGAGTGGTCACAGCTGAGCATTTCTCTGACAGTTGCACATTCTTGTGGAAATGCAGAGATGAAAACAGGCTCAGCTTTCAGATTCCCAGGTTAGACTGAAGGTAGTGGTGGAGAATAAGAGGCAAACTCAGCCCTGGAGAGGAGAGAACTGAGGTGTCCTCAGTGAAGGGACAGGTAACAGCTGCCAGAGAAGAAAATGAGTACCGAGCCAAGAGTGACGTCTTTGGTAGACTGCCATGCTTGCTGGGGACCACCATACAGCTTTTATACTCTTAGAATAACACTGGCTTCAGTTCTTTGTTTTCTGCTAGAACCATCTAGGGATTCTGACTTCTTCCTAGCTCTGAGGACATAAGTTCAGAAAGGAGAGTGTGCCCCAGCTCTAGATAGTGAGTCAGTAGTTGGGGTAGATGGCTTCGGTGGTTAAAGTGCTTGTTGCCGAAGTGTGAGAACCTAAATTCCATTCCTAGCACCCACATATAAACCTGAATATGACGACCTGTTTGTCTTAATTAGGGTTTCCTTTGCTGAGGAGACACTATGCCCACAACTCTTAAAAGGAAAAAATGCTTATTTGGGGCTGGCTTACAGTTTCAGAGATTTAGTCCGTTATCATCATGATGGGAATCATAGTGGCATATAGACATACATGGTGCTAGAGAGATAACTAAGAGGTCTGCATCTGGATCCACAGGCAGAACGAAGAGAATGAGACACTGGGCCTAGTTTGAGCATCTGAAATCTCAAAGCTCACTCTTAGTTACATACTTCCTCCAATAAGACCATACAGACTCCAACAAGGCCTAAGAGTACCACTCCCTATGGAGTTGTACTCAAAATGAAATGCAAGTTTGTACTTCAAAAATGAAGTTGTAGATGAAAAACACATGGACACACACATACAGTGCAGCCTGGAGTCAGCTGAGATCTTCCTGGTGTGATGTGTAGGAAAATACAAAGGCAGGTATCTCATCCAAGCCTCCAAGTACCAACATGTGCAGCTGGAGCGCTTCCAACTGCTGAAGTCAGCTTGTAATCACATGGTGCCATGCCAGAAGACAAAGACCAAGGTACTGAGAACCTGCTGCAGACAGTAATACTGCTAAGTGATCTAGCTGGTCAAGCAAAATCACCTCAATTTGTAGTTCATTGAGCATGTGTTCACTTTAAATGGAATTGTTCTGTTGAAACCTTTGGGGTCTTTGTGACAAGATGTGCAGGCACTCTGCTTGTATTATCTATGATGGAACAACCAACGCTGTCCCAGAGCTTACTCTGGTTGGGAACTGGGAGCAAGCCATTTGTGGTTCTGATTTCAGGTCTCTCAGAAAATAAGGTCAAAATATGAAACTAGGGCTGAACACATCTGTCAGGCTTGCCTGGGGCTAGGGGACCCACTCCAAAAACAAGGGAAGCCTGGATTCCTCACGCTGTGGCCTCCATAATGCAGCTTTGCGCAGATTATATGAGGGCAGGTTTTTGCCAGAGGAAACTTCAAGAGAAGGCAGATGTGCATCCCATCATGTTTTGTGACCCACCTCAGATGGCAAGGTATGTTGTCACAAAGAGAATCATGATTCTAGGAGAGAGTGAAGAGAGACAGCACTCTTGCCAACTAAAAATATATATCACACTTGGTGTTGGGGTCAGAGACAAGCCCTTTGCAGTATCTGAAGCTTCAGTGGAGCAGAGGCTTGGGTTCCTAAAAGGAGCACTCGGAAGGGCAAAGTGTTAGCTGGGTACAGTGGGACATGCCTGTAACTCCACTGCAGAAGAAGAAAAGATCACACTTTCCAGAATGGCACACACATAGCATATTTAGGCCAGCAAGTGTTAGGGGTTGTGTGTCAAGAGAGACAGAATCTAGCAGATCCTGCAGAATTGGAAGATTAAACAGACCCCCAGTTTAGGGAGCTCATGCGACAGAACAGTGTAAAAGCATCCTGATGTGAACTTGGGTTAGGTACATAAAGAATTACGTGTGCACTTCTGAAATGTAAGGCACTTTTAAGTATGAGAACAGGAACAGATGACACTTAGCAACCCACGTGGGCGTGGTGCCTTGTATCTCTGAGAAAGACCTTGCTTCTGGTCCCCATAAGGGACTTAGTAGTAGTAGTAGTAGGCAGGTATGGATTTTGTGAGTCCCCCAGGCTCTCAGGTCCTGAGCCACAGGACTAACTGTCACCATGCACATCCTAGATCCCTCCAAGTGTAAGAGATGATGGGAGCCTGGCAGCCACTTCAGTAAACCTAGGAAGTGTGTCTAGAGAAGCGCCCTGGGGGTCCAGCTCCCCCAGCGCTTTTCAAGGTACAGGGAGTGAAGGGAGATTCATGGGTCTTGAGCAGTAGAGCAAGCTGTGGTCCTGGGCTCTGGAGGGTGACTGGCAG